GTGTGGTGAGAAAGAGAAGGAGTGGCAGGGCTTTCTGTGATGTGGCTGCTTGCTGACCTGTTCTATGCTCAACTTCTTCAAGCTTAACCATGAAAAAGATGACCTGTCAAACATGACAAATGCTGCAACAAAGCACTGCAAATTTGGGGGACCACAAAAAGGGGCATTCAGTGATTACACTTCTGAAAAAAAAATAATTTATTTAAGTAAAAATTGTGGTTAAACATGAGGAGAGGATGGTGCCAAGGAGAGGAGAGCACGCTGTCCTCTGCCCTCCGGGGCAACTCCAGGGTGCTGATGGGCTCTTCCACACAGGCTAATCCCTCAGTTTCTCCAGAGGTCGCAGCCGTGTTGAGCAGCCTCAGCAGCGTGCTGGCACTGCAGGGACAGCCCGGCAGCAACAATTACTCCCCTGCAATGTAGGAAGGTCAAGAATCCAACCCCTGCAATGCTTCCCTTTACCTCTGTGCCTTCCGTACCACGGAGGAGCAGCATTGTTGCCCACCCAAAGATACTGTAGATGTGGAAGCAGTGGGAGGAGTAACTAAAACATGAAAGCCAAATCCAGACCTATGGTGAGAGCCCCGGTGCAGATGCAAGTTGGAAGAAAGGATCTGAGCAACCGCAGAGCCACAGCTACAGCAGGAGACCCAGCAGGAGTGAGGCCAGGGCACTGGGGTCCTTCCATCCCTCCCAGTAAATTGAGGCCATTGCTGTCACTGAAGCCACCTGAATTTTTACACTGCTTCTCTAACACTCTAAAAAAAAAATGTAGGTTTTGCTTCCTGGATTACCCTTTGCTCAAAAGTAGTGAAAAAAACCAGGCAACCAAACCAGGGCAAAACACCCTCCCCTGCCATCACCAGGCGGCAGGGCTGCCCATGGCTCTGAAGTTTCTATTCATACATATGTATGAAATTAATGAATGTTGGTGTTTGTACTTTCCTAAAGTGATTAAAAACTATGCCAAGAGCTTTAACTAAAGTATTTAAAGAATTGCAGTTCATAAACCAGAAAATTGTTCACCTTGTCTCTAAACAAGCAAGTACAAAGAGCTACATTTAGGTACCTATTTAATTCAAGAAGAAAATCAGACCTTTTCCTGCATAGTCCACAAAGCTCACCATGTACAAAACACCTATTCCAATTAGCACTTCACTCTACTCCAGA